AGACAGCCTGGCACTTCAACGACGGAGCCATAGAGTTCCCGGTCGCAGATTTATGCGCCATGATCAGGTAGCACAGAGCCTCAAGGAGCCATTTTTTGGGGAACCTGTACATTACACTCTAAAAGAAAAAGGGAGTAGTACTTCCTCCCTTAAAGGAGGAACTCGCGTGTATCATATATTGCTCTACAAAGGGAGGAAATTTCCTCCTACAAAACGGGAGGAAATTTCCTCCCTTAGGAAGGTAGGAAAGTTGCCACCTATTTTTGCTCGTGGAGAAAACGTTCCTCCCCTAAGAAGGGAGGAAAATCGCCACCTTTTTTCGCCCAATGGAGGAAACGTTCTCCCCTCGTGTAATTCATATAACTTCCACCAGATGGCGCTCAAAACAGAAAAAAAAGGTGAAGTGCCAATTTGTTTTCCACGCAGTTCTCGTTCCTATCGACTGGATATGCCCTGTTCTGTGTTACACAGGACTAAAATAAGCGCCGCACGGATTACCTTTCGCTGTATGTTACGTACGCTTTATTTCAAGAGTATATGTTTCTCGCGGAGGTGACGGGGCTAGGAACGTATAGACGTGTCGACTCGAATAGAGCAGTGATCTTAGCAACTACGTGATTAAGGAAAAAAATGTTCCACGCTTATGACGATTATTTCTTGTGCGCCCTACTTGTTACTAAAGTTAAAGCAAATAGGCAGGCGAGCTGGTTAAGAATAGATAGTTTCGTGTCTGTCCGTCCTTTTTTTGTTCCCTCGCTCCAGGGTCACTATGTCTACTTGTCATGCAGCAAGTAACGTGACGAAAGCGGTCGTACTTGCCATGCCAGTGATAAGTCGCCACCTGTACTTATCGCAGCTGCAAGGTTTCATCCACAATGAATAAGCGCGATCTCGAAGCAGGCACATACGGCGTGATTCTTGCGAGGCGCACGCCGTGCTACGCGCCTCGCTTTTTGTTTTGTTAAACTAGTGTACCTCCGCTAGCCCCCGCAGCTCCGCTTTTTCCCTCCTAGCACCGCGCATGGGCAGTAGTGGGATTGCTCTAGGTGACGGTATACAATCCCTCAAGTTGCCGTCACCGCCATTGAACATCTTCGCGGCGGCAGCGGCGGCTAACCGCCACTGCCGCCGCGAGCATGGGGGAGGAATTTTCGTCCCTTTTTTAAGCGCCACCAGGTTGCGCTGCATCTAAATCGGCGAAAAGGAGGAACGGGTGCGATTTCCTCCCTTCCGTAGGCGACAGGGAGGAAAATCACTTTTTCCTCCATTTCTCCTCCCTTTTTTTTAGAGTGTAGTGCACAGCTTTTGCAGCGGCGAGGACCTGAACCACACCTGTTCGCTCGAGAGAAGTGTGTTTCGGCGCCTCGCCGCAGCGGGGCGCCGGTCACATGGCTCTCCTTTCACCTGTTGTCTGCCGCTCCTCCTTTTCCATTTCGGCGGCCGCTTCTCGTTGCGATCTGCGTCGCTTTGTCAGTATATAGGAGGCTATGGTACCACACATCCTCCGCGTGATGCTTGTGGTGTTCCCAAGGCGTCTACATGTGTCAGATTGTTTCATCTAATCTCTGGCACTAGAGAAAGTGTCTTGGCCAAGCACGTTTTGGCGATTCCCGAGATTGTTGAAATTCGTGTATTTTTTCCGGCTCTTCAACAAACCACAACTTCTTTCTTATTGTTAAGGATCTGAGCCGTGGGCCCTGGCCTTATGGCGGCGAGGGTAGTATAGGACGTCTGATTGGTGGAGAGCGCATTTGTTGAAATTGTATGAACACAGCAAGCCTAAGATGCGCCGTTCACATCACTTAAATAAATTGTGCAGCGGTTAGAAAAAGATGTCATTTTCCCTAAATTATTGAATGATGCCTACTTGTATGCCAATTTTAAACGTTCAAAAAACACTCACGTCATAAAAAGAAAATCGGTTTTGGGCGAAAAGTTTTAAAAATAAATTCAAAACGTAAAAAAATAAAAAAAAACACATTTTTTTTTTTTTATTGCGGGCGTGGTAGACCGCTATATTTGGGACCTTTTGTCTGGCTGCGAGGAGATCGACGAAAGCGTCTAGCGCTTGCAAGCGTTTCCGCATTTGCGCCCGCCTTCCTTCCTGACACGTAACAACAGAACGCATGCTCACTTACCAGAAGTCTTTTCAGGACGCGTCCGCCATTCGATCATTAAACTTCTCCACGGTTTGAGTTGCTCCCTCTCTAAACTCTGGACTTTTTAGGCGGACCATGTTAACACGGCGCCCTCACGCGCTCGCCATGTGCGGACGCACGACGGCCTCGAGAGGCCGTTTTGCCAGGCACTGAAACTAAGCAGGAGGCACTGCCCGTGTTAAATGAGCGAGTACACGAGTCGCAGTTGAACTCAGATGCAACACTCAAATCCAATGTGTGTCCGTTCCGATCTCCAGTAGTTGAGAATTAGGTAATAGACAGGAGCGATTTGGGGAAAACTGTGAGCTCTGGTGTCAGTGGCTCCAAGAGAAAGAACAAGAAAAAAGTGACGCGGATAACGAAAAAAAGTGGAAGATGCGTTAGGCGTGTTGGTATACCCACGAAGCGCTGAATATTGCCAATTCTTCATTATTCGGGACTACGATTCACTATAGGTGGCGCCACTCGTTTTCCAAAAAGGCGGTTATAGTGCTGGTTGGGGGTGTGTGCCGGGTATACCAGTTGCTGAGCCTGTCTCGTGCGCTGGCTTCACTGAGCGACACAACTTATTCCCGCTTCTACACGGAAGCTAGAGTGCTATGAGCGCAGGTCATCTCTTTATCCTGAGAACAAAAACGGTTCTTAGCGTAATATTGACTCCGGGAGGCCGTTTTGATTTTGGAACGAAACCGAAACTAACGTCTATTTTGGATTTAATTTATTACTATAGGGGATAATTTCTGGTTCTTTCATAATTTATTAAGTGTCTCACAGCGCATTTATTGAGTTAAAGAAGTTCTCGGAAAGTTTATTTCGTGGCATACGTGTCCGATCGAGGTATATAAAATATTTTGAAGAGTCCAGTCACCCTTTAAATACAGCGTCTTTCATACACCTTCGATTAACATAAGGTATTGTAGTTGTTAATAATAGCAGTGCTCTTATTTGTGCGTTCCTGCTGCCTTTTCTTGCTCAGATATTTTTAATGTAAAATATGTAACCGTGGGTCTTTTAACTGGCTATTGGGTTTTAACACGATTAATTGCTTTAACACTACTCACACACAAAAATAACAGAATCAATCCAAAATTTACAAAATATCCCCACGGGTAATGCCTTTATGATATGCTCAGAGAACTTATAAATTAAGAAAAGCAGTTCTCAATACAAAAACCCAAAGACGGAATGCAAATCAAACAACATAAATGTAATTTTTCTTAGGAAAAACGAGGCGCATATTACTTTATATAACATCAAGTGTTTGACTGTTTTTCGACCCCGATAACGATGTCAGTTTTTCTAATGGCAAAAAAAAACAAAAACAGAAGCATTATGGTTAAATTGCATATTTTTTGTGATCGTGGCGTTTATTGGGAGCCTACATTGCCTCAGTTTGTATTGATAATAATAATAATACAAATAAGATATTTTAATACGCAGTTTGAAACTGTAATATAATTTGTTGCTTCTGACCTTATTTCAAACGCGCGAACAAGTATGGCAATCAAAAGTGTGCCAATTATCATCACTATTGCCAATTGCAGCATTATTAACTGACAAGCTATAATATAAGATAATAAAAAAATGAAAACGTTCTAGCTAATCTGAAAAATCCACTTAAAACATCATTAACTGTGGTTAAAGCATCTGGTACTATCAGAGTCACGACTTTTTGGCAACCGGCAAAGCTTCCAAAGTAGGCGCCGATCCTTCCAGACCAAAAGCCCCAAAATAAAAAAAAAATAAAAAGCAAATTCTTTTGTATCGTTTTTTTTTTTTTTTAGTATCTATTTTTATGAACATTTAGTCTCTTTTATTTTTACGCGACGTCGGTTTGTAAATCTCAACCTTTCCAGTTGGAAGGAATGCGTTCCCGCTTGCACGTCTGCTCATTGCAGAACGTTTCGAAGGCGTTGGAAACTGATGAAACAAAAGCGAGATTTAGTATTGGGTATACGAGCGAAAGCAAGGATTGTTTGTTTGCGTTAACATTGCGTGTTCCACATTGCAAGTGCGCGAAGCCCAAAATTTCAGTCTTGGATTGGCGCATGGCGACGACGTGTATGCGCAGCGTGGAGCACGCAAATCTGACGCAAACGTACAATGCTTGCATTTATTTCTGTACGCAATACTAAAACTATTTAACAAGGTACAATTTTATACACGCTGCAGCACTACTTTGGATCACTGAAGAGTTGTTTGCATTTAGAAATGAGATTTCCCGAGCCAACGTCACGAACAGTTCAGCCGTTTCCGCTGAGGGGAAGATCGAGGAGACCCTCACTAGAGAGCTCCTCGTATCCGCCGCGGGAGGGCGAGCGACGAGCCGGAAACGCAAGTAACCCAGTCAAAGTTTGAGCGTTTTTTTTTTTTTTTTTTTTTTTACAGCGGGGTTGTTAAGGGCTAGGTTCCCCAGGATCGTGTCCATATATTTCGACACAAACCTACCTGGACAGCTACCGTCATCTATAAGCGACGGCGGAAAGCACACAACCAGTATGGTTTCCGCCGTCGCTCGTAGATGGCGCCAACCTTTTCAGCTATAATAGAAGAATGGATAGTTGGGCGCGTTGGTGGGAATTCATTGTAGGAAACAGCGCGAAAAACAGACGACGACGAAGAAGAAGCACACAGTCTATCGAGTACGGCTCCGCTGGTCTTCCTTCTTCACAAGAGTGGAAAGGCTGTTATGTTGTTGTTTTTTTTGTTAAATCTCGTAACATGAGCTTAGGTACTCACCTCGCAAGTCGTATATTGCGACTTCTTTTTGTTTCGCAATGCCTCACGAGCGCTGTGGGGATAGAAGTCGCCGCCAATTTTTGTCAGAACCAAGGAACTTACGGGCAGTCCTGGCGACGAGTCCCAGAAGCAGCACTGGCACGCACAGGATGAAGGAGCCCACGCCGCCGACGTAACAGATCGCTTTGGCCCGGAACTCGGTCTTCGCGGACAGCACCCTCTGCAACACGTTCTGGAATATTTGCCGACGCGCAAATGTGACAGGATTCCCGAAGGGTGGTTGTTTAGGCGAATTGGTTTGACATCTTATGCAATCTTTTGCGCAGCAAGGGCGAGGACAAAAGGAAGAACAGGGCGCAACAAGGAACAGGGTATTTGGGTTATCACCCTTCGTGATCATGGACGCGAGAAAAAACAATACATTCTAAAGACGACACTCATAATACATTATGCAAATGAACTGCGGACACTACCCTAGTTACACGAGCGATCTCAACTGATATTAAGCCAACGATCGTTGGCAGCTCCCAACTGTCTTTGAGTTCAACTAAGTTGTCCGGTGTACACAGTACATGGACCTAACAACTCCAGTTGAGATGCGCTTCATGGAGCACAGTTAAAACAGAAACCAAAATTGATGTCGCATTATCTTGTCTTAAAAAGTGATGCTAATAAGGTCGATGCACAGTTTTCATTTATAATGAACGTTTAAAACAGAATAAGACTGACTCATTTGTCTTTTTTAGAGTAAAGGAGCGATTATCACAACGTTTCACACGATTTGAAGCAAACTGAGGAAATGTTCCGAACACAAATGTATGAAGCCAACATGCCTGAGGCTGACGCGCACACATCGACATTGTGCGAGAAACCCCTTTGTTGCGGTGTAATTTGAAGAATAAAAGCGAGCATATTCTTTCAATGTCTCCTTCGCGAACTTGATGATGTAGTTTGGGGGACGCAGTGTTGGCATAGTCTACCAGTGACGATATTTGAACGCGGCTCATAGGTTTGACCCGAGTATTGCGTGAGCACTCTATTCGGGCTCGTGATAATCAATGGCTTGACACGCACTCAGGTAGTCGCTCGCGACCAATCGCTGCGATGACCCAATAGCCGAACCCTAACAATGTCTTGAACTCAGCGCGTACCCTGTGCTCTGCAGCCTCCAGCGGGCGGCTGATATAAACATCGACGACATAAAGACCTTTTCCACAAACGCGCCGCCGTCTTGAATTTCGTCACTTCCGGTATAAGCGAAAACGTCATTTTGCCGTCGGGACGCCAATAGAAGACATTCAGGGTATAAGCCTAGCAGTAACTCTGTCCCGTTTTGCCTCCCCTTTATTTTTTAACTATTTACAAATTGAATTTTAGAGCGCAGCTCTTAGGCGCCCGTTTCCGGCTTGAGCGGCGTTCGCGTCGCCGTCGCCGTAACCGCGCGGTGCATTACGGGACGCGTGACGTCACTGATGACGTAATCAGTGACGTCATCGGAATTGTCATCGTCGCTGTTGACGTCATTGTCATTGATGACGTCATCAGTGACATCATTGATGACGTCATCAGTGACATCACTGATGACGTCATTGGAATCCGGATCGTCATCGTCCCTGATGACGTGATCAGTGACGTGACTGATGGCGTCATCGGCATCTGCATCGTCCCTGATGACGCCATCAACGTCACTGATGACGTCGTCGGCATCCCCACCGTCATCCTCATTGTCACTAATTACATCATCGGCATCGGCATTGTCACGGATGACGTCACCAGTGACGTCACTGATAACGTCATCGTCGTCGTCACGTGACCTCATAGGCGTCGCCGTCGTCTCACGAGGGTCACGTGACCCCCGTGAGGTCACATGACCTTCGTGAGACGACCGCGACGCCGCTCGGAGGGAGGAGTAGCAGACAGGATGAGAAGGCGAGGAGGAGGGAGGAAGGATATACCTTCCCCTCAGCACCCTTCCCCTCCTCCTCCTCCTCAAAAGCTGCGCTCTAATCCGGCGTTACAGGGAGGAGGAGTTAGGAGTTAGGGCGCTAGAAACCTTCCAATTATGATTCTGTTATTCGCAAGTAGTCTAGACTAGCAGAGTTTTTTTTTTTTCTTCCGCTTATACCGGATACTTTTATTAGGTGGCGGCGGACGAGAGAAAGCTAAAAAAAGGTCCATAACCGGGTCCAGATCAATTGGCCGTTTGTTCTGGCTGCAAGTTAAGGCAAAAAACGTAGCTTGTTTTTCTTTAATTCTTTTTGCCTCCGCCATTAAACTAGGAAGAAGAAAAAAAACGAACGTGTGTTTCATGTGCTATAGACGCCAGAGAAGCATTGTAACTGGTATATAAGCAAGGTAATGAAATCATTGCACCTCCCTTCCAAATGGGCTGTGCGACGATATTCAGTGACAATGTTTTTTTTGTTTTTGTTTTTTCACTTTAGAAGAGCTGACAGGCACTAGTGGGACCCAAATATGCTCGCATGCAACGCCATTAACCATGAAGCCTCTTTGTTGAGGTGTAACGTCATGAATAAAGGCGAACGTTTGCTTTCAATCTGTCTTTCGTAAAACTTCATGACAAAGTTTGGAGGTCGTAGCGGCGTTGCTAGATTACTTCTGTTGTGAAACAACCGCGAAGGGGGGTATCCCCCCCCCCCCCTTATTCCCTTCAGTTTGTATCCCGTCATTTGAAGCGCCATTTCGATTTTCGTTGCAAACCTGTGTGTTCCAAAGCATAACCTCCGAGATTTGTCGCGCGCTGGCTGCGCTCCTCAGGCCATTGAATTCGCCGGTAGTGACTGCTACTGTGGGTCGCTTGGTGCCGCTTACAACCATACCAAACAATACAAAAAATAGCAGCGAATTATCATTACGCAGATTTAGCGTCGGTCAACGGAAATTAGGAGCAGCGCGAAATGTGCTCCCCGCATCTCGCCGCAACAAACAGACCTTTGGCAAGGAAGAGGTTCATCGAAATTTGAAGGTTTAACTTTTCAAAGCGCAAAGGGTGTATAACAAATGTCCGTGCACGCAAGTTAAGTTTAGACAACTGTTCTCATGGATGATGAGACTAATATTTCTCGGCCTGTCCTCGCCGATTCAGATAGTATCGGAAGAGGACAAATATAGAATCGTACTAAATCTTGCACTCTGAGGTATCATGCAGCGATAGAACGCAAAGACCGGAGCGGCTAATAAAAATTACGAATCAACAGGAATCGGCTTACGTGTATATGTTTTGATGATAACAATGAAACTGCAAGATTCATGCGTCGAGCTCACAGTTGACAACGTGCCAACGTTACTAAAACACTCAGTTGGGAAACTCGCCGTCGAAACCTGGGCCGCTGGCGTCCACCGAGACCGAGCTAAATGCGACAACAACGCTACTCTTTATCGTTTGTCTGTACTGTGGTCACCTTGAGCTTTTTGAAAGCCTGTTTTTGCGTAAAAACAAACGGAAAAGACACTTTTTGTAGGAAATTTATTGAAGTTTAGTACAAAAAGAGGGGCGCGTTATGTTTTTAAAATCTTTAGTTTGCAGGGTTTTGCGGCACAATTAATATTGTTTTTATACAACCATGCCTCAGCGGTCCTTTCAGGTAGCGCGTCCCGACCTAGGTGCATTTTAACTTCGATAGTTCGACGCGGCGCGTCTGCCGGGGAGACGGGGGTGGCACCCCTGTAACCTCTTCCGCTGTATCTGTTCTTAAAGCCAAAATAGAAGTCACCTGCAGTTCCTCGAGTGGCGCCGCTGGGGGAGAAATGGTGGCGTTGTGTTCGTCATTAGCTCGGTGCTCGGTGCTCGGAGACAGATTGGGGCCACTTTTTAAAGCTGTCTCTATGGGAGTTTCCCAACTGAGTGTTTTAGTAACGTTGCAACGTGCTTTCAAGCTAGTCTGTTTCCGTTTCCGGTTTGAATATAAGCGCCGCATACGGAGATGAAGAGAACTGTCTCTGCTCGCTTTTTCTGCGGGGAAGTCGAGAGTTTGGACAAAGCCGGAGCAGATAGCGCGGGAAAAATCTCGAAGGCTATGTCCATGTAGAGTACGGTAGGACGCCATCCAGACGCTGCGCTTGGAAACGTACGTATTCCACAGAATACACTGCAGTTACCATAGAAGCCGTCCGGCGCGTCGAACGACGCCAGGGGACTCGTGTGGGCAGAGGGGAGGGGGGCTACTGCTTGCGCAAGCAGCGTCTATGAGCAGGTCCTTAACTAGGCTAATCTAATAACGTTGGGTCGCTGGGTCCCCCAGTCAATATATCTAGTCAACCAGTGACGATATTGAAATTCGGCTTATTGATTGGAGCCGAGCATTGCCTGAGCACTCTATTCGGGCTCGCGACAATCAGTGGATAGCTCGACAAGCATTAGAGTAGGGGCTCGCGTCAAATCGCTTCAATGGCGACAGCAGCGGAACTATCACAACGTCTGGACCTCAACGGGTGCCCTGTACTTTGACAACCCCAGCGCGTGGCTACGATCAACATTAGCGGGAAAAAATCGACTACAAATCTTTCGGCCGTTTGTTGTGGCTCCGAGTTCAAAAGCTCTTAGTTTTTTTGTTTCTTTTTTCTTGATGACCATCGTACAAGGAGGACGACTACCGCGCTTTTTTATGGGTTATAGACAAGATCCTGCATTCTCAAAGCAAATGATTGAGGAAAATCGGCAGGCGTTTTTCGGACTTCATTTTTTTTCTCCGTAATTCTCATTTTTTCGGAACATTCACTTATAACACTCAAAATTCTGAGTTTTTATAGGTGTTTAGCATTTCAGGGGTGTTCAACTTCAAATAATTGTTTGAGAGGAGCAATAAAATATGGTGAAACTCCAAAGACAATTTTTTTTTAAATCAAAATTTAGATCATTAGTGGCAAAAACGAATGCTCGATAGTTTCCAGTGCTCCAGTGTTTACGTCAACTTCTTGTCCTAGTCTCTTTTTTTTCAGCGCTTGTCTACGACCATGAAGAAACTCACCCAAATTGCCACATTAGTGCAACTGACTGAATCTCGAATTTGTGTCGTCAACAAGGATGGAAGGGGAACGTGTGCAAAGGTTCAGTCTGCACCAAAGGGGGTCCCAGGAAGGTGACTGGAGGTCTTAGAAACATATCCGGGAGGAAAGAACCCCGCTTGAGCTGGCTATGTATTTGACCTTGGATCGGCCGTTGTCGTGAAAACGACTCCTGCCTTTTCTGAAAAGGGATCTGAGGACATG